GAATGCCTCCCAAGAAGCATAGGACTCAGCAGCTCTTGACACTGTGCTTGTTTTGGAGGACGAAGCAAAGACAACTCCTCATGTGGAAACTACAGCTGCCAGAACTACAGCAAGACCCACAGAGAGGACAATGTTTTGTAACAACACGAAAGCTGCATTTGTGGCACTGATCTTGACTAAAACATTAAAAACAATAACAATCTCTGTTTGGCCAAAGTGGCTAAGAGCAATACATGTCCTGCCACGCAAAGCTGCAGTTAGCTGTATGCACCCTTACCCAAGGGGTCAACAGTAACCCACTTAGGCTCCACGTGGCTTCATCCCCTCTGTGCAGCGGGCTAAGGTACAAGCCAGCAGCACAGAACATAGCCCAGTCCGTTTGCAATAAGAATTTTTGGCATTTCATCACCGTGACTTTCCTTAAGTGAAGTCACTGCTGTATGTTTTATTAGAGGTATTTAAACTGAGGCAATTCTCTACTAGTGTAAAATCCTAACTACCCTAACATCACTTTAACCAGCTACGGTTCTGACTTAAATGTTCCACTTTTGAATGCCTAGCATAAATAAAATTATCTTTTCATTATAAAACCATTTAAAAGGCCAAAGGATTCCTTTATACAACTTTTCTTTTTCAACCATGGAGCAGGGGAGGTTTGCCAGGTGTGGCTGGGTTGGTATCACAGTGTTTTTGTGGTTTTATCTGAGATGTTTCAAAGGGCAGTCACCACATTTCACAAGATCAAACCCAAAAGAAGCTTTGCCCCAATGATTGCTGGATTTCAGGAGTTACTTGCTGACCACCTCATCCAGTTCCAGCTGCCTTCAGAACTCAGCAGTTTGTATTTCACCAATTTTACTCAGGTTGTCTGAGAGGAAAGAAATCAGTTCTTCAGCAAACTGCACTGCAAGCCTAAGGTTTCTTAACACTGTCACTGCGCACTGCACTGTGTAGGTCAACTGCCCAGTGTAAACAGCTGAACGTACCCTGTCCTTTCCACATTTTCAGGCTTTGGATACTGCCGTGGTTCTGAAATAAGCCACTTATTCACCTCTCAGCTTTGGCTACATACAGCAGCAACATCTGAAGTGTTACTATAGCCAGCCAAACACAGAGAGTAATTATTTAGACAATCAAGTCCTGGTCCACAACACGTGCTACTGAAATGCAAGCAATTATTAATAATAGCAAAAATGCACACAGTAACTGAAATGCGGACAGTAGGTTTCTGTGTGCTGGCAGCCTGCTCCTGCTCCAAAGTTGGTGGAAGTTTGGCTGCTGACCCCAGGGAAGGCAGGCTTATTCCCAGGCAGGAGTCGGCTATCGCCCTCAGACGTTTCTTCCCTCTGTGCTCTTAGTAACACTAACCTACCTAGCCTATTGCAAAATATTGCAAGAGCCTGGCAAGATTAACAAGGCAGAAGAAGAAATCAATCGCTACAACCAAGAGGTTAATTTTCACTTCCCCCTGAGTGCTACATAATAATAATGGACCTGCACTAATCTAAAGTGCATCTCTAACAGCGCGTGTTTACCTGCGTTTACTATACAACGCACCGACCTCCTGCATTTAAATCCTTGTACAGTATGAAGCAAACAGCACTCAATTCTGCAGGTTCCTGGGCCTGCGTTGGGTTTTCCCCATCTAGGACAGCCTGTTAACGTTTATCTGAGGAGCAAATGTTTTTGCCGACCTGGGACCTTCTCCTTGCAGCAATCACATATCACGTCATGTCATCACACCCCTCCTTTGCTTAAGTGGCTCAGACAGTAATTTAAGAGCTAACTCAAAGGCATTCAGGTGCACCCGGGGGCTGCTGACATCTCAACTGAGGCAGCGGGTGAGGGTGCAGACGGGCGCCAGCATCCGACACTCGAGTCAGAGCTGACAGCTAGACGCAGGAGGGAAGAGCTTTCTCAGGCACATTCCCTGTCTCTGCCTGTAGTCCTGATCTGGAAAGACTGCAAGAGGAGCTGAGCCAGCACTTGTCACAGGACTAGAAAAGGACTGAGCTCTTGCAGCTATTTCTCTGTCTCAGCACCCTTTCCAAGCAGAATCGGGACCACTCTAGGGAAGAAAAAAAGGAGCACCAGGAGTTTCCATTCCCCTTTCCCATAAAAGCCAGGTGGGGCTTGGCAGTTCAGAGCTTCGAAAGCTCAAGGCAGAGTTTGTCTCTGCCTTGCAACTTGTAGCAGCTGTGGCAGAGACCAGCAGGTCTCACCGCTCGCACTGTCTTTACAGGGATGATTCCCCTCCAATGCTCCCGAGGCTACCTGTTTCGGGTACCAGCACTCGGGGTAGGTCCTTCTCAGAGCAGTCCATAGATCCACAGTCACACAGGGACTGCAAAGAGCTGCCAGCAGACAGACCAGCTCTGCTCCCCTTCACTCCCAGCTTCTGATCTCCCTGACTGGTGCAAGCCACTTCCCCGCACTGTTGCCCCAAGCCCCCTCTGCTACCTGCAGCAGTGGGGACCAGCGTCCGAGGACATGGCTCAGAGGGGGCTTGGCTCGGCCGGGGTCTTGGCACAGGGACGCGTGCAACGCCAGCCAGTCGCCCCAGTGCCTTCACATTCCCCCCTCCGCACTCCTGCTCTGCCAGGGACCCACTGACCGCCACGCACCAGGGACCCATCACAGCGCGTCGCCAGTGTCAGAAAAGCGACGGCAGCGCAGGGCAGGTGCTTGAATTCTCTGGGGAGGAGGCGAGAGCCCATGAAGGTGATGCCAAGCATCCTTCCACGGGGCACCACAGCCCCACGGCCAGGTGACAGCTCCTGCGAGCCCATTTCTCCCCTGCATCTCCCCGTTTCTGAAAAGACACAGCGCTTCTACATCCTCCCAGCCCTTGCGTTCACCCTTTCAAACAGCAGCTGAGGGGGAAGGCAACGGGGACACTTTTATTTTCCCAGCCCGACTGCCGGTTTCCTCCAACCAGGGACTTTCTGAGAATAACTGGGCAGCAGTGCAGGCGCCCTTTGCCGTCCCCGCTCGTCCAGCCCGCACCTGCCTGCCCGTGTCTGCGGATTAGCTTCCCCTCTGACAGCCCGGGGAACTCGCAGCCAAGTTTTGTAACCCGGGAACAAAATGCAAAGCCTGCCGCAAGGAGGGGGAAAAAAAAGCCCTTCACAAACAAACAAACCGGGGCTAGAGCTGTGCCCCTCCGAGTGTCAGTCCTCTTTGAAACAAAATAAAAAATCCCCTCCCCTCCCGCCTCCTCGGGTTCCCTGTCACTTGGGACCTGAAGTTAAAGGAATTCAACAGTTTAAAGGTTGGAGGAAGCTTTGGCCAGAGTTTGAACAAAAGGATGGTCCGTGATTTTAGCAGCATTTCACCCAACTTTCCAGTACCATGTTCCTGAGTCCCACCGTCACAGTCTCACATTCTGGGCAAATAGTCCATTTATTTCTATTCTTATTTCAGATGAACGTCCTACAGCACTTGGCAAAAAGCATTCGTTGTTTCTGGGCGTTGTTTAAACTGTCCCAGTGAGAGCAATAGCTGCAGATCTGACATGGCCTTTCCGAGCCGTGCTCAGACCATGCAGCCCTGGTCCTAGCATCCCTTTTAGGAGCTTGTTCATAGGGTGGCATCTCTGCACAGTTTCCTGGGCTGGACAACAGAGGCTACTGCCCAAGGCTGCATAACTGGCCGAGGAGGGGTCCTACGGGCCACCAGTCTGCTGGGAGGCTTGGTTGTGACAAAGGAACTGGGAAGACTTTAAGGTAGGCAACATCACCTGGGGTTTGCCATGAAGTGCAATCACTGGGGTGGGCAGAGGGCACCCGCAGCCGGCAGGAGCCTCCCCACAGGCAGGGGCTCCTGTCCGCCCTGCAGAGGGTTTCCTGCACTAGCAGCCTGGTTATTAACACTAAGTCCATGAGGTAGTTCAACAGCCACCACAGTCAAGAAGTTCCTCCTGGGTTGAGCTTTCTGCACAGCCTTAAAACCTCCCCACTCAACGAATGAAGATTGCGCCTCTACACAAGTATGTGCTACAGTACTTCTGACACTCTGCAAACAACTAGCCCGCCCGACCATTCCCAGAGCAACCTTCCACCTGTTCGCACAAGGTTTGCTGAGTTTTAGATTTCTTGCAGCCACCAGATTTTAGATACATTTTAAAAGTGGATCATTATTTTTCTTGGGGGGGGGGTTGTTTTTCCTTAGAGAGAGAGAGGGAGAGAGAGAGAGAAAGGCTCATTTTTGTAACCAAGGTGTGCCACACCAGAGCCCATCACGTCTCAAAGCTACCCACTAGGCACAGTACCTTTGCAGTGCAAAAAGTCCTCTGGGTTAGGGAAGGAGCCTTCTTCACAGAGCAACTCACAGGTTTTATCCGATGCCAGGGGATAGCTGTTCTCCTCCTCATTGTAGTCACTCCTGCCGTTGCTGTTGGAGTACCCATTGGCATACATCTTCAGGGCAGACCTGCGGAGGCACAGGAGCTCCTGGAAGGCATACCTGAAGTCCGGGCTCCGGCAGTAGATCAAAGGGTTGAAGGCAGAATTGACATAGCCCAGCCAGTTCAAGAGAATGTACACGTACTTGGGTATGATGTCGTCCTGGATGACGTGCACAATGTTGACGATAAAGAAGGGCAGCCAACACAGTGTGAAGGTGCCCATGATGATGCCCAGGGTCTTGAGGGCCTTGTGCTCCTTCAAGTAGAACTTGGAGGAACGGCGGTGCCCAGTTCGCCCGTTCTGCTCCTGCTCCTTGTTCTGGATGTGAAACCTCCCCTCGCTCTTGTCTATCTTCTGCAGCTGCTTCTTGGCCACCAGGAAGACCCTGGCATACACGAAGACCATGACCACGAGTGGCAGGTAGAAAGAGATGATGGAGGAGGCAATGGCGTAAGCCTGGTTGGTGAAGAAGTCGCAGCATGTGTCCTCCTTGTAGCACAGAATGGCTTCCTCACGCTCTGCCCGGTACCAATGCATCTGGATGGGCAAGAAGGAGGTGAGGGCAGAGACTACCCACACCACCAGGATGACCACGCGTGCCTTGCTCTTGGTCAGCAGGCTCTGGTACTTGAAGGGAGAGGTGATGGCGAAGTACCGGTCCACGGCGATGACACAGAGGGTCTCGATGCTGGCTGTGACACAGAGCACATCCAGAGAAGTCCAGAACTCACACCAGAAGTTCCCGAAATTCCACATCTCCATGATGATGTGGCTGGCCCCGAAGGGCACCACGGCCAGACCCATCACCAGGTCGGCGCAGGCCAGCGAGGTGATGAAGTAGTTAGTGACGGTCTGCAGGCGCTGGAACCGGGCGATGGCGGTGATCACCAGCACGTTGCCGAAGACGATGGCCAGCACGATCACGGACATGAGGATCCCCATGCCCACCATCCACACGTCCCGCGACAGCGTGGGGTCGGCGGCGGCGCTCTGGTTGGCGCT